AAGTCAAGTGCGAGGACTTCCTTCACCTAGTTGTGCCACTCACGAGGAGCCTGCTTGAGGCCATACACTGGGCGCTTCAGCTTCCACACTGTATTGGCAGGGTAAGTGCCAGGAAACCCCGGTGGGCGTTCCATGTGAACATCCTCCTTGAGCTGGCCTTGGAGAAAGGCGGAGGAGGCGTCCATGGACTTGATCTCGAAGTTGCCGCGAGCGGCTATATCAAGAAGAGCGCGCACAGTCGGGAGCTTGGCCGTGGGCGAGAATGTTTCGAAGAAGTCGAGATACTCCTTCTGGGTGAAACCCTTTGCCACGTATCGTGCCTTGAACAGTGGAGCTTCGCCTGGGAGTTGTTTGACTCGGAAGATCCATTTTCCGCCGACGATGTTGACACCGGAAGGGGGAACAACATCGTCAAAGCTGTTGTTGCGAATGAACGCCTCGTTCTCCACATCCATTGCTGCCTTCCACTCCTTCTTATAAGGCCCCGAGAGAGCTTCCTCTTTTGTGCGAGGAGTCGGAATGATCGGGTTCTTGGTGAAGTTGAGGGAAGGGCAGTCAGTAATGTCCGGGAAGATGTGAGAGAGAAATTGGCAGACCGCATGAAGGTCAAACAGCTCCTCATGCCTGTCCTCCAGAACTGCACGTGGGGGAATACGGATGGAGGGGACATCACCCCCGGCAGGAGGAGGCGGGGTGACCGAACACCGGATGGAGAAGGCGGCTGGTCCCCAGGTGATAGGCGGAGCCGGTCCCTTGGAACGAGTGCGACTATAGACCGGAGATGAAGGCGGCTGCGGTGGGACCGAAGGACTGGGCGCCTCCGGTAGGAGACTGGTGAGCCGTGCTCGACGCTCAGGGAAGGCGGAGCAGGAGGAGGTGCCGCTGCGGAGGATACAGGGGAGGCCGGGTGAAACACGCCGGACAGAGAAGGCCCCGGAGAATGGGCAGCGGCCGGAGGTGGGGCATCGAAGTCTGCCCATACAAGCGTCGGGGGAGGTGGAGGATGTTAGTATATACCATGCTATGCTAGTTGTGTATATTGTGTTTACATCCCTAGTTGGGTGTACACCTGTGTTGGGGTGTCAATCCAACCCAATTGTGGTTGGAGCCCCCAAACACAAGGACCACAATTGTAGGGGCACCACAAGTGGGTCGCCTAAGCCACTTGTGGTCCACCATACTTGGACCACCTCCCACTTATGGTCAACCATATTTGGAAGGATCCTCCCTCCCTTGTGATTGGTCCTAACCCCCCCTTCCCTTCCAACCTTCCCTTCCTAGCTCATCTCTCTCTTCCTACGTAATGCCTTAGCTTGATCAATAAACTCAACATTTCTGTTTCTAACATGGTATAGAGCAATAATGGCTCACGTCAACTTCTAATCCCGATCCTTCCCCACGCTTCCGCCCCATCCCCTTCCGACGTGCATCTCTTTGCCGTCCCCTCCATCGCCGCTGCTAGACTCCTAGCCGCCGCCTCTCTTTCCCTTCACAACTAGTTTTCTGTTGGGTGGATTTTCAAACATCCCCAGTGCGCCAAACACCATAGCTCGCTCGCTAGTTGACAGAATTGAGTGATTTGACTTGCAAAAGAACGCTCTTGGTGTCTGCTACAACGTCGTAAGGTTTCAGACTCGTTCACCGCTTGGATTGTTGGATATCGCTTTCCGAAGTTCGCGCACTTTCCTGCATGTGATCACGAAGTGCTACTGAAATTTCGACCAAGTCCTACTTTCATCAGCTAACTGCCATCTTTCCCCATCAGCTAACTGCCATCAGCTAGCAGCAGCAGCACCAGAAGGAGCAACTGACACAGCAGCAGCAGCAGCAGCAGCGGCAGCAGCAGCAGCAGCAGCAGCAGCAGCAGCAGCGGCAGCAGCAGCAGCAGCAGCAGCAGCAGCAGCAGCAGCAGCAGTGGGAGCAGCAGCAGTAGCTACAGCCATCCCCATCCTCCCCTCCTCTTTGAGCCGCCGCGGGTCCACCCGCCGCCGCTCCCTCCCGGCCACCGCGGGTCCACCCGCCGTCGCCTTCCTCCCACTCCGTGTCACCAATGGCATCCTTTCCCCCTCCTGTCGACGTTTCGAACCTCGATCATTTGGTGCGCGCTGCCGACAACTCAGCAACGAACTGGTATTCCTTCGTCGGCAGCCTCCACTGCGTCCTCGGCAGTGCATATGTCCTGCCAATCCGCCTCCTGGACATCATGCTTGGTCTCCCGGAGGGTGACCTTGGGGACCCGCCGCCTAACCCTGGCGATCCCCCCCCTCTCATTCCCCATCCCGGCGAGGAACCTCTGCCCCCCATGGTACCCGTTGGCACCAGCACTCACGCTGCCACCGCTGAGGTTGAGCAGCTCTTCGTTACTCAGCGTCGTGAGTTTCTCGTGCTCCATACTGATTACCTGATCGCTTTGGAGGAACACGAGCGGTCGGCCACCCTCCGCAACCAGCATGCCGCTACCGCCGCCGCTTATGCCGCTGACTCTGCGCGACTTGCCGAGCGTCGTCGTGCTTGGCTCGAGGCGGACAGACTTGCTACTGGTGCCCTTCTCCTTGCCATCCCGCCTGCGCTCATGCGCAACTTCCAGGCACATCGCATCGGCTCCCGCCAGATCGGGCTCGAGCTTGAGGCCATGTTCGAACGCACCGACTTCGACGCTGTCGGACCGCTCTTCAAGGAATACTTCAGCATCACGATCGAAAATAGTGCTGGCGCCGTTGACTACACCAGCCGTCTCCTGGACCTTGCCTCCCGCCTAGAGGCTCGCCAGACTACTCTCTGTTAGAAATAGACTGCAAATACCACTTTTGTATTTGAACTTTTATATCCTAGTTTAGGTTGTGAATGTTCTATTGGGTTGGGGTGTACTCACAAATCCCAACCTCACCCAATTGTGATCCTCACAATCTCCAATTACCCAATTGGAGATTCCGAAGATCCCAATGGGGATTCCCTCCAATTCCCCCTTCATCCATTCTCTCTCACCTTGCCATGTACTTATAGAGCCTTGGGCTCCTTACCTAATCAATCTTTTCAACTCTATTTCTTACATGGTATCAGAGCGACCTATTCGCACACGCGGATCAAGGTCCTAATCTGAACGTGCCCGCGCTACGCGCACTTCATCGTCGCGACATTCGTTTCGAGTCGTCGGAAGTTCGACGTGCTCCACTCTGCAGTCGCGCCTCTCATCGTCGACCGCCTTCGCGCTCGACCTCGTTGAATTTCTCATCTCTGAAGCTTTCACGCTTTTCGTCGTCGATTTCGTCCTCGGTTCTCCTTGGTTGAATCTCAATTTCGACCATCTCTTAAAACTCGTTCTCGAGTTTCCCCTCAGACCCCGCCAGAATAGGCGAACTCCCCTCGCGAAATCGCCTTCACGAACGTCTCGCGTCAAGCAAGAGCAGGTACACAGGTTGAAGCGGAGCGGAGCTGGTTGCGGAGCTGGTTGCGGAGCTGGTTGCGGAGCTGTGTAGCTGCGGGACAGGGCCTGGGGGTGTGTGGGGGGGTGTGTGGGTCCGGGGTTAGACATAGGCTCAGATTCAGTTTCAAGTCGGCGTTTTAACGAATTTTCGCCAACGCCATTTCCTACTTAGCTGCATTTTGATACAGCCGTCAGAGTGATTTTCAGCAATTCTCGTGGACCAATTTCCAGAAGTGCCACGCTGCACACCGACAATGGCTTACTCAACCACTTCACTCGCCAACCCGATCCCGCTCCTTCGTCTCGAGCCGGACGGTACATGCTCCAACTACAAGGCTTGGCGCTATGGTGTCGACAAGCACCTCCTCAGTCGCGAGGTGAAGGGGCTCGAGCTCACCGACGTCCTTCTCAACATCGGTGACAGCAAAGAGCCTCCTAAACCCGAGAGGTCCGCCGATCCAGCTAATGCCGCCGCCGAAGCAGTTTATGCAGCTGCACTGCTCAAGTACAAGAATTGGGAGAAGGCCGATGGTGCGGTCATTAGTGTCTTCATGGGCACCACTCCTCCCGAACTCGTCGAAACCTACCACAACTACCCGTCTGCCAACGCCATTTGGCTCTACCTCGAAGATCGCTTCCTTGAACAAGACTGCAGTGGAAGTTGCTATACTCATCCCCAGCATGTTCCAAGTGCGGCTCGAGGACTCGCCAGGCATGGCGGACTATGTCACCAAGGTGCAGTCCATTCATGGTGAACTCAAACAGTTGGGGATAGTCTTCCCCGAGCAAGCCCCTGCAGCCGCTCTCCTAGTCGGCCTCACTCCGGCATACGAAGTCACACGCAAGATGCTCTTGGGTCTTGCTCCTGCGGACCTCACATTTGCCAAGGTCTCATCTGCGCTCCTTTCTGCCGAAAAGGACAACAGCGCTCAAGCCAAGGCCAATGCAATCCGCGCTCCCGTGCCTCAAGCCTATGCCACTTCGGTGCCATTCCAGCGCAACCGCTTCCCCCCCTGTCCCTATGTCATCAAGCGCGGCCCTCGTGCTGGCCAGGTATTGGTGCATATTGATTTGCACGTCATCCTGTCGTCTGTTCGCATCATTTCGTTTGCATGTGTTTTGTGTGCTACGTTGTTTGTATGGTTTGTTGGGTTTGCATGTCTTTGCATGTTCATCTTGTGCTTGTGCAGATGTGCTTGGATTGTGCATGACATCGAGCACATTCCAACGAGCCAAGAATTGTTGGAATCGGAGCACATATGAAGAAGTTACGAAGAAATGTTTGATGGATTTGTACAACTCATTGGAAGTCCTTGTCAGCTGCTACACCAAAGTTGGAGAGCCCTATAACGAGGAGGGACCAGCATGTGTGGGACTTTTGTCCCCACCTTGCAGCTGCAGCATTTGGGGTTTGGAGGCCAACCTGGCACATTGTGAATTTTGTCTTGCCAGGCTGGCTGAACCTGAGGATGGGGAGTCAAAACTTTGACTCTTGTCATGTTCTTGACCATGGGCCTCCAGGGTCCTTCCCTTTCATCCTTCCCTTCATACCCCACCTTCCAATTGTGCTTCAATGCCTTTTCTATCATCCCTCTGATCTTGTAAGCTTCAATTATAGTGACTCTGAGGACTGTCAACTTCTCCTAGGGCAGATTACCCCCCAGTGCGCCAAACGCCATAGCTCACTCGTTAAGCTACGGAATCGAGTGATTCAACTTTCAGTTGAAAGCTGACGCTGCCAGCTACAACATATCCGATTTTCAGATCGTTTCACCGATTGGAGTTTTTGATATAGCTATTCGAAGGTCGCGAGTTTTCTGGGCGTCATAACGAAGTGCTGCAGAAATTTCCAAGGAGCCATTGAATCATCTGCTTATAGCCTTCTCTCACAAACAAGTGGTATCAGAGCCTATTATCACGCATTTGGGACCTAAAATACGATGGGAGATAAAGAGGACTCTGGTGGAGGTGATACTTCAGTCCAAGGAGGCAGCTCAATCCAAGATTCTGGCATTGCAGCGCAAAGGGGAGCGCGTACAAGCCAGGGGTCACTGCTTAAGGAGGTGCTGAAGAACTTCACCATTGAGAAGTTCTCTGGAGATGGCTATGATGATTGGGCATGGAAGATGCAGCTCTACTTTCGACAAATTGGCCTCTTGAAGCTCATGATTGGAACGGAGCCAAGGCCACAGGAAATGGCAGAGCAAGCGGACTGGGATGAACGTTCATCTGCTGGATATTATCTACTGTCACAAAGCTTGGAGCTGAACCAGAGGCATCACATCATGCATCTGCTACCGGAAATTGATTGTGGGCCCAAGGCATGGGCAGTGCTCAAGGACCTGCACGCTCCGACATCGGTTGCCGCTTCTCTCATGCTGGATCGGGAGCTGTCCATGCTGCGGTTGAGCGAGAATGAACCTGTGCAGCCCGTACTGGACAAGATGAGGGAACTCTACGCGAAATTGGCGATTGCTGGCATCACGTACCCAGAGCAGACAAAGTGTCTCAAGATGCTCAGCCTGCTGCCGGAGTCTTGGCTGCAATTTATAAGCGGACTCAGCTTGCCACAAAACCAAAGTCAATGGACATTGGAGTGGATTCGCACCAAGATTCTGGAAGAAGATTTTCGTCGCTATACACTGCGCGGAGGTGATGACAGCACCAGCGGCTATGCCATGCAAGGGACATGGAGGGATCGAGGGCGTGGCAATCGCGGTCGCTCTTACCACAGCCAAGGTGGTCGCGGGACTTGGAACCAGCGGGGGCGTGGTGGCGCTGGTGCAAGAGGAAGAGGTGGTCACTCCAACAATGACAACAGTGAACCACGCTTGAGGGGAGAGTGCTGGTATTGCAAGGAAGAAGGGCATCCATGGTTTCGCTGCCCTACCAAGCCCGACTGGTGGACCCCTTGGAACCAATCGCAGAAGGGGAATGGAGGAAAGCAACCACATGGAGGTGCCAACATGGTAGCTGATCCTGCTGAAGAAACCTCCAAGGATGACAGAGGAATGGGAAATGAGGAGAGGAATGCTGGACAGTTCTACCATGTGTGTGACAAAGATGACAGTGGCACAGCTGTTGCAAGGGCTGGAGAGGAATTGCACCCGCTTGACATGTGGGTCATGGACTCTGGTGCTGCATGGACAATGACACCACGCAAGGACTTGCTGGATGCTGTGCGAGCGCCTCCTATCTCTGAAGTGCGCTCAGCATCCGGACATGCAGTGAAGGTCGCTGGAGTTGGTCGAGCTGCATTCAGAGCACCTGATGGTGGACTGGTTGTGCTGAAGGACGTGTTACTCGTACCGGGGCTGAAGGCCAATCTGATATCGCTGCGCAAGCTAGGCCAGGCCGGAGTCAGCACCACCACCAATGGATCCAAAACATTCAAGGGGCTGCGAGGAGATCGTGTGTTATGGGATTTACACGAAAGCAGAGATGTCTTCAGATCCATGTGGCAGATCCCTGCACTGATATGGGAATCAACAAAGAAGGAGTTGGGAGAAGTAAAGGCGGGATCTGGAGTCCAGGGGGAGTGTAATGCAGTTAGTGCTGCAGGAGTGACGGTTTCTGCAAGGTCGGGGGAGACTGATTGGGAAACCGCACACAGGCGTCTAGGGCATGTGGCTATGCCATTGCTGCAGCAACTGCATAAGGAAGAAGCAGTAAAGGGGCTCAAGCTTTCTGGGCAACCAAATGATACCAAGTGCGAGACGTGTCTGCTGAGCAAGTTCACACGGTTCCCCTTTCACGACGTAGCTGGGAAAAGCAAGGCAGCACTGGAACTGGTGCACATGGACCTGGTAGGACCTTTTCCAGTCCGAGGAAGTAAGGGGGAAAGGTACTTCCTGACAATAGTTGATGACTGGAGTCGGCTGATGTGGGCATACCCGTTGAAGCAGAAGGATCATGCTGCCTCAACAATACGAGATGATTGGCTGCCGTTCGTCGAGCGACAATCTGGGCACTCATGCAAAAGCATCAGAACCGACCGAGGTGGAGAGTTTCTAGGAGGAGATCTGACTGCATGGCTCAAGAAACAAGGCATTGAGCATCAACTAACGACGTCCTATACCCCTCAGTCAAATGGCGTTGCTGAGAGGGCTAATAGGACCATCCTGGAAACTGCGCGAGCGCTGCTGATCGAATCAGGGCTGGGGAACTCCATGTGGCCTCATGCGGTGAGCATGCTACAGTGGCAAGGAACCGCGTACTCACAAAGGTGGCTGATGATATGTGGGTGCCGCTGGAGAGGTGGCTTGGAAAGAAGCCTCCAGTGGACATGCTTCGAGTGTTCGGATGCATGGCAGTGGCGCATGTCCCTAAACCGTACAGGACAAAGCTTGGAGCATCTGCACTTTGGTGTGTGCACCTTGGGCTTGCGGCAGAGAGCAAGGGGTGGCTACTCTGGGAGCCCTCAAAGAATGTGCTGTTTGACAGTCGGGATGTCAAATTTGTGGAGAACATCATGTATGGCAAGTGGGAGAAGCAGCCGGAGGCAAGGGTCACCCAGCAGCTGGAAGAGATCACTATGCACTTCGATCTGTCCGAACCTGAGGACAGCGAAGTCACTGCGCCAACGGCAAGCGGTACTGATGAAGGAAGCAATGAGGATATTGCAACTGATGCTGAAGTCAAGGATCCGGAGCAGCAGCAGCAAGAGGCTTCCAAAACACGAAGTCTGCCAAAGCGAAGGAAACAGATTGGTGGGGGGACAAAGGATTGGGTGAAGGTGAAAGAATGGGTAAGTCCAACCATCTACCCTGCACGTACCAGAATGGCAACGAGAAAGCTGCTGAGCTCCACAAGTGGAGGAGCCACAACTGAGCAGCAGGAACAGGCTCAAGGCGAAGATGCGGTGCTGTTATTGGGTGATGACCAAGAGTCAGATGACGAGGAGCCTGCATACTGCTTTTACGCACCAATACAACCTCCGAGCATGGATCATGCGCTAGCCGGGCCTCAACGGGGGAAGTGGCTCGTTTCAAGAGATGCAGAGTACAACAGCCAGATGGAGAATCACACATGGGACCTGGTGTACTTGCCAAATGGGAAGAAGGCAATACAGTGCAAGTGGCTGGCAAAAATCAAGACGGATGAGAAAGGAGAGCCATCAGTTTACAAGAGCAGGCTGGTGGCAAAGGGGTTTCAGCAGAAAGAGAAGGAAGATTACAAAGAAGTGTTTGCCCCAACTGCTAAGTCTCCAACGCTACGTGTGCTGCTGGCGGTAGCTGCTGTGCGCAAATGGAAGGTGAAGCAGATGGACATCGTAACCGCTTTTCTGTACGGCATTGTGGAAGAGGAGGTGTACATGGTTCAACCACCTGGCTATGAGGATGGAACCGGTCGTGTCTGCAAACTTAACAAGGCCATCTATGGCTTGAAGCAGGCCCCGAGATGCTGGTACAACAGGCTGGCCAGTGCACTGGAAGGGATTGGATTCCGTGCGAGTGCATGCGACGAGAGCCTATTCCTGATGGGAGAGGGGGAGTCACTTGTGCTTCTGCTGGTGTACGTGGATGACATCCTGCTCTTCAGCAGCAGTGACAAGGAGATCGATGGGGTGCAGCGGAAGCTCACAGAGCAGTTCAAGTGCAAGTCACTTGGAGAGGCAAGGTACTACCTGGGAATGCACATTGAGCGGGATGCTGAACGTGGCTGGCTCAAACTGCATCAGGGACAGTACATCAACACCTTGGCTGAGAAGTACTCTCTGCAGGAAGAACGGGAAGTGGTCACACCTTTGCCTTCCGAGTTCAAACTCATAAAGGCAGCTGAAGGAGAAGGAGTTGAGAGTGAAGACCAGAGGCAATTCCAATCCATGGTCGGGAGCCTACTCTACGCTGCTGTGCATACTCGGCCTGACATCAGCTTTGCTGTGGGACAGCTGGCTCGAGTAGTGCAAAATCCAACAGAAGAGCAGTGTGGTGCAGCGGAGAGAGTGGTGCGCTACCTCAAGTCATACCCTACAGTGGGAGTACAGTATTCAGCCTCTGCTCAACGCAGTCAAAAAGGAGTTGAAGTCCTCAAAGAGAAGGGGGAGCAGCTCGGAGAAGGAAAGGTGTTCCTTTCCTGTTTTGCTGATGCCACGTGGGCTTCTGAGCATGAGGATTCATCATCAGTTGGTGGATACATCTGCATGGTGGGAGGTGGGCCTGTAAGTTGGAGGTCCAAGAAGCAGTCTAAGACGGCACTATCTTCAGTGGAATCTGAGTACATGGCGATGTTTCATGCGGCAAAAGAAATCATCTGGCTAAGGAGGCTCTTGAAGGAGATCGGCCATGAACAGACTGTTAGAAACAGAAAGGTTCAGTTTATTGATGAAGCAAAGGCATTACATAGGAAGAGAGAGATGAGCTAGGAAGGGAAGGTTGGAAGGGAAGGGGGGGTTAGGACCAATCACAAGGGAGGGAGGATCCTTCCAAATGTGGTTGACCACCAGTTGGAGGTGGTCCAAGTGTGGTGTACCACCAGTGGTTTAGCCAACCCACTTGTGGTGCCCCCACAATTGTGGTCCTTGTGTTTGGGGGCTCCAACCACAATTGGGTTGGATTGACACCCCAACACAGGTGTACACCCAACTAGGGATGTAAACACAATATACACAACTAGCATAGCATGGTATATTCTAACACAACCCCAGAGCATGCAAAGCTAGTGTATATGTAGGGTACAACCCCAGAATCAGGAAGGGGGGCAGGGCCCAAGGCCGAGAAGGCGGAGGAGGGCAGAGTGCGCGGTCTTCGGGAGGGCCTTGGTGAAGATGTCGGCCAAGTTGGCCTCTGCAGCGATCTTGCGGACCACCAAGTGACCTTGCTGGACCAACTCTCCAACGAAGAAGTAGCGGAGTTCAATGTGCTTGGAGCGGCCATGGAAGACAGGGTCCTTTGTGAGATGGATGGTGCTGGCATTGTCGCACCAGAGGGTGGGACAGCGCTGAGGAGCACCGATCTCAGCAAGGAGGAAGGTGAGCCAGCGATTCTTCTGAGCGGCCATGGTGCAAGCATAGAGCTCAGCCTCGCAGGATGAGAGGGCGATGGAGGAGGAGCGAGTGGAGCGCCAGCTGATGAGGCCGCTGCCAAGGGTGAAGCCGTAGCCTTGAGAGGAACGGCGATCCGGCTGGGAGTCAGCCCAGGAGGAGTCACTGAAGCCAGAGAGGAGGGGAGGAGAAGAGCCTCCGAGGGTGAGGACATAGTCCTTGGTACCACGGAGGTAGCGGAGGACCCGCTTCGCTGCAGCCCAGTGCTCATCAGTGTGGCGACCGGTACCGACGAATCGAGCAAGAACACTGATGGGGTAGGCAAGGTCGGGGCGGGTGCACATCATAGCGTACATCAGCGAGCCGACGAGCTCAGCGTAAGGATGGTCAGAGGAGGAGGGAGCAGGAGGAGGGGCAAGCTGGTGGTCGGTCTGCAGGGGAGTGGTAACCGGCTTGGCCTGCGCCATGTCGAACCGCTGCAAGACTTGGTCGATGTAGAAGGACTGAGAGAGGGTAATGGTGCGCGATGTGCGGTCCCGGGTGATGGTCATGCCCAGATAGTGCTTGAGCTCACCCAGGTCCTTGCACTTGAGGCGCGCATGCAGGGCGTCCTTCACTTGCTGCATGGCGGCAGCATCGTCAGCGAACAGGATCATGTCGTCGACATACACCAGGATGAAGAAGCGGGTGGGAGAGGAGCGAAGGAAAAGGCTGGCATCAGACTGAGAGGCATGGAACCCCAAGGACTGCAGAGTGGCGGCCAGCTTGTTGTGCCACTCGCGAGGAGCCTGCTTGAGGCCATAAACCGGGCGGCGCAGCTCCCAGACTGTGTTGGCAGGGAAGGCTGCATGAAAGCCTGGAGGCCGCCGCAAGAGGACCCGCTCCTGAAGCTCGCCTTGCAGGAAGGCGTTGGAGACATCCATGGAGGCAATCTCCATGCCAACGCGAACAGCATAGTCGAGGATGGCACGGAGAGTTGGGAGCTTGGCAGTGGGAGAGAATGTCTCCCAGTAGTCGATGCCATGGGTTTGGGTGAAGCTCTTGGCACAATACCGGGCCTTGTAGACCGGCTCCTCACCCGGCAGCTGCTTCACTCGGAACACCCAGAGGCCTTCAACAATGACGTCGTCAGGAGAGGGGACAATGTTAACGAATGAGGCATTGCGGATGAAGGCCTCGCATTCAGCAAAGATAGCCTGGATCCACTTGGCAGCATCGGGGCAGGTGATGGCCTCAAGGAAGTTGGACGGAGTGAATCTGGTGGGAGCGGTAGCGATGCCAAGGATAAGGAGGCCAAGGAAGCCCGGGTAGAGAGGCGTGAGGGAAGGTGTTTGTTGCTGAACGCCAATGAGCTCCTCATGGGAGTCCTCAATGAAGGGAAGGGAGGGTGGGGGTGGTGTTGGCCAACCCCATGGATGGCCTATGAGTGGGCCGTGAGAGCGAGTGTGGATGCGTGGGAGGATGAACGGAGAGGTGGTGCGGCGATGCCGATGAGGTTGCTGCAGTGGCTGCTGCTGCTGCTGCTGTGGCTGCTGCTGGTGCTGCTCCTGCACCTCCTGCTGCGGCTGCTGTTGCTGCACTGCCTGCGGTTGCTGCTGCTGCTGCTCCATCCACTGCTGCACCTCCTGCTGCTGCTGCTGCTGCTGCTGCTGCTGCTGCTGCTGCTGCTGCTGCTGCTGCTGCTGCTGCTGCTGCTGCTGCTGCTGCTGCATCCGCTGCTGCTGCTGCACCTGCTGCTGCTGCTGTTGCTGCTGCTGCTGCTGCTCCTTCTGCTGCTGCTGCTGCTGCTGCTGCTGCTGCTGCTGCTGCTGCTGCTGCTGCTGCTGCTGCTGCTGCTGCTGCTGCTGCTGCTGCTGCTGGTGCTGGTGCGATGAGGCAGAGTGAGCAGGGGAGTCAGGGACAGCTGGGTCGTAAATGTCACCTGAGGAAGGAGGAGGGGGAGGAGCAGGATTTGGAGGAAGGAGGGGAGCCTGGGGAAGGAGTGGGGGAATGACAGCATCAGCCCAGGTGAGGGGGCGGGAGAGAGGAGGAAGGGGGTCGGAAGGCGGAACAGAATGATAGAACGGGATGCTCTCATCGAACACCACGTCACGGCTCTGTAGGAGGCGGCCTGAGGACGGGTGAAGGAAGAGGTAACCAGGGGCAGAGCGAGCGTGGCCAAGGTAGACACACTCAATGGCCTTGGAGGCGAGCTTTCCTGCCTGCCGAGAGCGGTCAGGTGGGGGGATGAGGACATATGCCTTGCAACCCCAGATACGGAGAATGGCAGCATCTGGCTTGGTGCTAGCCCAGAGCTCAGTGGGAGTGACAGACTGGCGTTGAAGGTGTGGGTAAAGATTAGTAAGGAGAGCAGCATGGACAAGGGCATAGCCCCAAAGAGAAGGGGGCGTGGAGGCATGAATGAGGAGGCAGCGGGCCGTCTTGGTGATCTCACGAATGCGACTCTCAGCAACACCGTTCTGCTGAGGGGAGTGGGGAAGGGTATGAGTCTGCTGGATGCCATGGGTTGAGCAGTAGGAGGAGAGGGTGCGGTTGAGAAACTCACCACCGCCGTCGGAATGGAGGCGGCGGATGGGGCGACCAAAGTGGACACGGCACTGCTCGGCCCAGGTAACGATGACAGCAGGGGCCTCGGCCTTCGTGTGGAGGAGGAACACCGAGGAGTACCTGCTGTGGTCGTCGACTAGGACAAGCAGGTACCGGTGCCCTTGGCGGGAAGGGGAAGGGTTAGGGCCCCAGAGGTCCATGTGGACGAGGTCAAGGGGGGCAGCAGCAAAGGAAGGATGACTGAGGTGAGGCTGTTGTTTGAGCTTTCCATGAATGCATGTGGCGCATGGGGGAGCGGAAGAGGACGGGAGGGGAGGAAGAGTGGGGGGAAGACCGTCAAGCAAGCGGGAGGAGACGGCTTTACGAAGTGTGGGAAAGTTCATATGACCAAGGCGGTGGTGGATGAGAACAGCGGGGTGGGACAGTGCGCGACAAGAGCATGGGGAGGAGGTGGAGTTGGAGGAAGGTGGCTCTAGAGGGAGGGGAGGGGGGAGAGTGGAGGTGCCTGCACGAGTGGTCACGTGGCATGAGGAGGGGCGCGGTGTGCGGAGGATGTACTGACGAGAGCGAGGGCAAAGTGGGAGGCGATGAAGGAGGCGGCGAGTGGGGCCGTGGAGGAGGTCACAGTAGGTGGCAGAGGCGGGGAAGAGGGTAGTGATGCCAGCCTGTTGGAGTTCACGAATGGAGAGCAGGTTATGACGAAGGGAGGGAATGTGGAGACCAGTGACCACTCCAGAGGGGAAGGGGGGGCAGGGGAGGGTGGAGAGATGAGTGCAAGGGATGGAGAAGCTGGAATCAGCACCATGAACGTTGGTGGGGAAAGGGAGGGAGGTGAGGGTGCCGGCGTCTTTGAGGGCAGTTTCAGTGGCACCACTATCGAGAACAAAGTCAATCGTGAGCGAGGAGGGAGCTGAAGACACGGGGTACTGGAAATCACTGGCATTAAAAACAGAGGGATACATGGAAGTGGAAGCAGGGGAAGAACGCATGAGCTCGCCTAGAAAGCTGGAGTGGGAGGCGGGAGCACTAGGGGAAGGAGAGCCCCAGAGGGGAAAGCCAGGAGGACCTGGTGTGGCTGTGGCAGCCATGGCGGCGGTGCCAAAGCCAAGCTGCTGCTGCTGCCATGCAGATGCTGCGGCTGCGGCTCCTGCAGCTGCGGCTGCAGCCTGACCACCAGAGCCCCACTGCTGCTGCTGCTGCAGCAGCTGCAGCTGCTGGAAGCGGCGAAACTGCTGCAGCTCCTGGGGAGTTATGGGGTCAGCGACAGAGGAGGAGGAGGAGGAGGAGAGCTGAAGATGAGAGGGGAGGAAAGACGGAAGAGTTTTGACATCCTGGAGAGAGGGGCGGGGATCCATGGCAGACCAGCGTGGGGGTGTGCCAGTGTTGCCGCGCTCGAACCAGGCGTCATCATACGCCTTGAAGCAGGTCGCGGGGGGATGGTTGGTTTGGGTGCAGCGCTCACCCGCCCTGGGACCAAAACGGCGAAGATAGGAACATGGGGGGAGAGTGCCAGGGCGGCCACCACGGCTACCAGATGAGCCACCACTGCCTCCACCACCACCACTGCTGCCACCCTCGACCCCGCCACCACCGCCGCCGGCTCCGCTGCCCCCACAACCGCCACCTCCACCCCCTCCCTGAGGGTTGGTGCGGCCGCCACGTGGGCGCCCGCCACGACGCGGCTGTGTGACTGCAAGCTGGGGGTTTTGGGACTCGGTGGAGTTCAGGCCGGAGGGGGGGGTTGAGAGAAGGCGGGCCTCAGCGTCAATGATCCATTGGACCACAGTGTCAAGGGAGGCGCGGGGCTGAGCCTCAGTGAAGGCGATGACGCGCACTTCATATTGAGGGGAGAGGCCTTCGAGGAGACGGTAGATCTGAAGGTTGGGGGGGAGAGTAGTCTGGCGAGCCTCAAGGCGGGAGGCAAGGTCTAGGAGACGGCTGGTGTAGTCAACGGCGCCAACACTATGTTCGATCGTGATGCTGAAGTATTCCTTGAAGAGCGGTCCGACAGCATCGAAGTCGGTGCGTTCGAACATTGCCTCAAGCTCGAGCCAGATCTGGCGCGAGCCGATGCGACGTGCCTGGAAGTTGCGCATGAGCGCAGGCGGGATGGCAAGGAGAAGGGCACCAGTAGCACGGCTGTCCGCCTCGAGCCAGGCGCGACGGCGCTCAGCAAATCGCGCAGAGTCAGCGGCATAAGCGGCGGCGGTAGCGGCATGCTGGGTGCGGAGGGTTGCCGACCGCTCGTGTTCCTCCAACGCGATCAGGTAATCAGTATGGAGCACGAGGAACTCACGACGCTGAGTAAGGAAGAGCTGCTCAACTTCAGCGGTGGCAGCGCGAGTGCTGGTGCCAACGGGTACCATGGGGGGCGGAGGTTCCTCGCCGGGATGGGGAATGAGAGGGGGGGGATCGCCAGGGTGAGGCGGCGGGTCCCCAAGGTCACCCTTTGGGAGACCAAGCATGATGTCCAGGAGGCGGAACGGCAGGACATAAGCACTGCCGAGGACGCGGTGGAGGCTGCCGACGAAGGAATACCAGTTGGTTGCTGAGTTGTCGGCAGCGCGCACGAGATGATCGAGGGTCGAGACGTCGACGGGAGGGGAAAAGGATGCCATTGGTGACACGGAGTGGGAGGAAGGCGACGGCGGGTGGACCCGCGGTGGCCGGGAGGGAGCGGCGGCGGGTGGACCCGCGGCGGGTAGATACTGCTGTAGATACTGCTGCTGCTGCTGCTGCTGCTGCTGCTGCTGCTGCTGCTGCTGCTGCTGCTGCTGCTGCTGCTGCTGCTGCTGCTGCTGCTGCTGCTGCTGCTGCTGCTGCTGCTGCTGCTGCTCTGCTGCTGCTGCTGCTGCTGCTGCTGCTGCTCCTTCTGCTGCTGCTGCTGCTGCTGCTGCTGCTGTTGCTGCTGCTGCTGCTGCCGCTGCTGCTGCTGCCACTGCTGCTGCCGCTGTTGCTGCTGCTGCTGCTGCTGCTCCTTCAGCTGCTGCTGCTGCTGCTGCTACTGCTGCTGCTGCTGAGTCTGCTGCTCCTTCTGGTGCTGCTGCTGCTTCTGCTGCTGCTGCTACGGCTGCAGCAGTGGTAAGGCGGCGATGAGCAGGTGCAGGTGAGGAGGCAAAAGATGGGGAAAGATGGCAGTTAGCTGATGAAAATAGGACTTGGTAGAAATTTCAGTAGCACTTCGTGATCACATCCAGGAAAGTGTGCAAACTTCGGAAAGCGATATCTGACAATCCAAGCAATGAAATAGTCTGACATTTTATGATGTTGTAGCTGACACCAAGAGCGTTCTTTTGCAAGTCGAATCACTCAATTCTGTCAATTATCGAGTAAGCTATGGCGTTTGGCGCATTGGGGGTTTTTGAAAATCCACCCAGCAGAAAACTAGTTGAGAGGCGGCGGCTAGGAGTGTAGCAGCGGCGATGGAGGGGACGGCAATGAGGTGTACGTCGGAAGGGGACGGGGCGGAAGCGTGGGGAAGGATCGGGATTTAAAAGTTGGTGTGAGCCATTATTGCTCTATACCATGTTAGAAACAGAAAGGTTCAGTTTATTGATGAAGCAAAGGCATTACATAGGAAGAGAGAGATGAGCTAGGAAGGGAAGGTTGGAAGGGAAGGGGGGGTTAGGACCAATCACAAGGGAGGGAGGATCCTTCCAAATGTGGTTGACCACCAGTTGGAGGTGGTCCAAGTGTGGTGTACCACCAGTGGTTTAGCCAACCCACTTGTGGTGCCCCCACAATTGTGGTCCTTGTGTTTGGGGGCTCCAACCACAATTGGGTTGGATTGACACCCCAACACAGGTGTACACCCAACTAGGGATGTAAACACAATATACACAACTAGCATAGCATGGTATATTCTAACACAGACTTGTGCGACACCTCTGTTCAGTGATAGCAAGGGAGCCATTGCCATGGCACGCAATGCAGTTCTTCATGGGTTGAACAAGCACATGAGGATCAAGTGGCATTGGCTGCGGAAGGAGGTGAAGCTTGGGACACTGGATCCGATCTACGTGAAAACTCAGCAACAGCCAGCCGACTTCCTTACCAAGCGGCTAGCTGAAGAGCCACACTGGCGCTGTGCGAGGATGGCGGGAATGTCATTGAACTAGAGACGGCGAAACAAGCCGACAGTCTGAGGGGGAGTGTGTTGGTGCATATTCATTTGCACGTCATCCTGTCGTCTGTTCGCATCATTTCGTTTGCATGTGTTTTGTGTGCTACGTTGTTTGTATGGTTTGTTGGGTTTGCATGTCTTTGCATGTTCATCTTGTGCTTGTGCAGATGTGCTTGGATTGTGCATGACATCGAGCACATTCCAACGAGCCAAGAATTGTTGGAATCGGAGCACATATGAAGAAGTTACGAATAAATGTTTGATGGATTTGTACAACTCATTGGAAGTCCTTGTCAGCTGCTACACCAAAGTTGGAGAGCCCTATAACGAGGAGGGACCAGCATGTGTGGGACTTTTGTCCCCACCTTGCAGCTGCAGCATTTGGGGTTTGGAGGCCAACCTGGCACATTGTGAATTTTGTCTTGCCAGGCTGGCTGAACCTGAGGATGGGGAGTCAAAACTTTGACTCTTGTCATGTTCTTGACCATGGGCCTCCAGGGTCCTTCCCTTTCATCCTTCCCTTCCTACCCCACCTTCCAACTGTGCTTCAATGCCTTTTCTATCATCCCTCTGATCTTGTAAGCTTCAATTTTAGTGACTCTGAGGACTGTCAACTTCTCATAGGGCAGATTACCCCCCAGTGCGCCAAACGCCATAGCTCACTCGTTAAGCTCCGGAATCGAGTGATTTAACTTTCAGTCGAAAGCTGACGCTTCCAGCTACAACATATCCGATTTTCAGATTGTTTCACCGATTGGAGTTTTTGATATAGCTATTCGAAGGTCGCGAGTTTTCTGGGCGTCATAACGAAGTGCTGCAGAAATTTCCAAGGAGCCATTGAATCATCTGCTTATAGCCTTCTCTAACAAACACCAGGTGTGTGGCGGCACCAACCACGCCCTTGCCTCCTGCTTTAAAAAGAAGGATGACGAGTGGTATGCCGTCAATGGGACCGCCTCCAAGCCGCCAAGCTGGATGGTCAATCGTGCTCCTCGCCAAGTCAATCAAGTCGAAGCGCAGGAATCCGTGCAGGCTGCTGTGGCTGCACCTGCTGATGTGCGCCTCAACATGTGGTTCCCTGGCACTGCCATGATTAATGAGACGATTTCACAGTATCCTGGCTCACAAAGCACCTCAGCCACAATAAAATTACCCTCGACAGTGGGGCCACTCACACGGTTCTCAAGGAAGAACACTCCTTCAAGCCATACGAGACACCAATCCGTCTACTTGGAGCAGACTCCAGTTTCATAACACACGCCAAGGGCTCCTCCACAGTTCCGTGCCCAGCTTTTCCTTCGGGCAGAGTGACCGGCATGTGTGTTCCCACACTACGCCACAATCTTGTGGCCCAACACGAGCTCCAACGGGCAGGCGTCACCACAATCTTCCCAGCACACTCGGATCACTGTGACCTCTTCGACCCTAAGTCCAACAAGCTCCTAGCACGCTTCACACTCAACAGTAGCAAGCTCTACACGCTGCGTTCACCTGCACCTCTCGCCGCCCTCTCCCAAGCGCAAGCTGCCAGCACCACTCCGTGTTCGTGTTACAGCTTCGCCAACCCAACCATCCTCTACCACCATCGCTTGGGTCACCCCTACTTCCGTACACTTGCCGACATCGCTTCCAAGAAACTTCTTCTTGGCCTCCCGTCGGCGCTTCCTCCACCAACAGACTCACCTGCACCCACCTGCCTGGACTGCACCAAGAGCAAGCTCAGGCAGCAGCCGCACCCTTCCTCCCCATCCGTCGCAGCTACTCCGCTGGACCTAGTGCACATGGATGTCTGGGGCCCAGCTCCAGTCGCATCCCGAGGCGGTCATCGGTACTTTCTTACACTAGTCGATGACCACTCGCGGTATGTTTCTGTGCACCTCCTGCATACCAAGGTGGAGGCATCTGATGTCATCATGGCGTGGGTGCGCCAGGCTCAAGTCTCGTTCGGCACTCCTCTGAAGTGCCTCCATTCTGATGGCGGGGGAGAATTTCGCAATGGCAAACTCGATAACTTCTGTGCGGCCCAAGGGATTCGGCAAACCTTCACGCTCCCTGAAAGCCTGCAGCAGAATGGCATTGCAGAGAGCCGCAACCATACCTTGGTTCAGATCGCTCGCTGCCTCCTCAGTCACGCCAACGCACCACGGTCATTCTGGGGATATGCCCTCTTCCATGCGGCACTCCTCTACAATCTTTATCCGCATCCCCACCGTCCCGACACCACACCTACCGCTCTCTGGCTTGGGGTCACGCCTTCCGCCCGCTCTCTACGCGTCTGGGGGTGTACCGCGTATGTGTTGCTAAGCCCCCACACGCGCAGGAAGCAAGGTGGCAAGCTTGGTCCCAAAACCCAGACCTGCATGTACCTGGGGCACAACTCCGACTCCCCAGACTACTTATTCCTCAACCCAATCACCAGACAGCTGATTCGCAGCCGTGATGTCGTCTTCGATGAGACACGCCCATTCTACTCTGCGACCACGGACGAGCCTCCTCCACCTCCCCCGACGCTTGTTTGGGCAGACTTCGATGCCCCACCTCCGGCCGCTGCCCCTTCTCCGGGGCCTTCTCCGTCCGACGTATCTCACCCGGCCTCCCCAGTATCCTCCGCAGCGGCACCTCCCCCTGCTCCCTCTTCCCCGCGCATCGAGCCCGGCTCACCAGTCTCCTATCGGAGGCGCCCAGTCCCTCCGGTCCCACCGCAGCCGCCTTCGTCTCCGGTCTCTAGTCGCACTCGTTCCAAGGGACCGGCTCCGCCTCTCGCCTGGGGACCAGCCACCTTCTCCATCCGGTGTTCGGTCACCCCGCTTCCTCCTGCCGGGGGTGATGTCCCCTCCATCCGTATTCCCCCCCGTGCACTTCTGGAGGACAGGCATGAGGAGCTGTTTGACCTTCACGCGGTCTGCCAATTTCTCTCTCACATCTTCCCGGACATTACTGACTGCCCTTCCCTCAACTTCACCGAGAACCCGACCATTCCGACTCCTCGCACAAAAGAGGAAGCTCTCTCGGGGCCTTATAAGAAGGAGTGGAAGGCAGCAATGGATGTGGAGAACGAGGCGTTCATTCGCAACAACAGCCTTGACGATGTTCTTCCCCCTTCCGGTGTCAACATCGTCGGCGGAAAATGGATCTTCCGAGTCAAACAACTCCCAGGCGAAGCTCCACTGTTCAAGGCACGATACGTGGCGAAGGGTTTCACCCAGGAGTATCTTGACTTCTTCGAAACATTCTCGCCCACGGCCAAGCTCCCGACTGTGCGCGCTCTTCTTGATATAGCCGCTCGCGGCAACTTCGAGATCAAGTCCATGGACGCCTCCTCCTCCTTTCTCCAAGGCCAGCTCAAGGAGGATGTTCACATGGAACGCCCACCGGGGTTTCCTGGTACTTACCCTGCCAACACAGTGTGGAAGCTGAAGCGCCCAGTGTATGGCCTCAAGCAGGCTCCTCGTGAGTGGCACAACAAGGTGAAGGAAGTCCTCCTCGCACTTGACTTCCATCCCTCTGCCTCAGATTCCAGTCTCTTCGTTCGTCACTCCTCCGAGCCCTTCTACATCCTCGTCTACGTCGACGACTTCATTCTAGCCGCCAGAGATCCAGCCGACATGGCAGCTGTCCAGTCTGCTCTCAGCTCCGCCCTTCTCATGAAGGATCTTGGTGACCTCAAGAACTACCTGGGGATGGAGATCACTCGTGACCGCCAGGCTTGCACGATCACGCTCTCCCAGGAGTCCTACATCGACAACCTTCTCAAGCAGTTCGACATGGACTCCAGTAACTCTGTCTCCACTCCACTCCCACTACAGCATCAGCTCACGGCCCCTCCAGTTCCTTCTCCTGACGCCTGCAAGGACCCGTACCCTGAGCTAGTCCGTTCACTCATGTATGCCATGATGTGCACTCGACCAGACTTGGCTTACCCGGTTAGTGTCCTCTTTCGGTACGTCTCCCCCGGACGCTACACTGCCTCACATTGGTCTGCAGCCAAGAGGGTCCTCCGCTATCTACAAGCCACCAAGTCTCACATCCTCACTCTTGGTGGTACCTCTCCAGTCAAGCTCGAGGGATACACAGACTCCTCATGGGCCGATGACCAGACTGACAGACGCTCCTCCCAAGGGTACTGCTTCACCCTTGGTAGCGGAGTCATCAGCTGGCGCTCCACTCGGTCCTCTGCAGTCTCCCTGTCGTCCTGCGAGGCCCAGCTCTACGCGGGCACAATGGCTGCTCAAGAGGCACGCTGGCTCTCCTTTCTCCTCGCTGAGTTAGGCTACCCCCAGCAGTCGCCCACCCTGTGGTGTGACAATCAGAGTGCCATTCACCTCACCAAGGATCATGTGTTCCACTCTCGCACCAAGCACATCGAACTTCGTCATTTCTTCATTCGAGATCTTGTTCAGAGTGACCAGCTGACGGTACGGTACATCGCCTCAGATTGCAACCTCGCCGACCTCTTTACCAAGGCTCTTGGCAAGGCTGACCACCATCGCCTTCTCCGTTCCATGGGGCTATGTGCTCCTTGACCAGGTTTGCAGTCTATGGGGGTGTGTTAGAAATAGACTGCAAATACCACTTTTGTATTTGTACTTTTATATCCTAGTTTAGGTTGTGAATGTTCTAGTGGGTTGGGGTGTACTCACAAATCCCAACCTCACCCAATTGTGATCCTCCCAATCTCCAATTACCCAATTGGAGATTCCGGAGATCCCAATGGGGATTCCCTCCAATTCCCCCTTCATCCATTCACTCTCATATTGCCATGTACTTATAGAGCCTTGGGCTCATTAGCTAATCAATCATTTCAACTCTTTTTCTTATAAGAATGGACGTTGAATCCGCTCATCAGTGTGGCGACCGGTACCGACAAATAGAGTTGAAATGATTGATTAGGTAAGGCGCCCAAGGCTCTATAAGTACATGGATAGATGAGAGAGAATAGATGAAAGAGGGAATCGGAGGGAATCCCCATTGGGATCTCCGGAATCTCCAATTGGTTAATTGGAGATTGGGGGGATCAGAATTGGGTGAGGTTGGGATTTGTGAGTACACCCCAACCCACTAGAACATTGATAACCTTAACTAGGATATAAAAGTACAAATACAAAAGTGGGATTTGCAGTATGGTTTTAACACATGGTGCACCAAGTGTGAATGGGTAAGAGTGATATTGCGCGCTGTTCTGTCCCTAGAGATGTGTAGGCCAGGGTAGCGGCGCAGCTTTCCTAGGTCAGTGCAATTGTATCTTCTCAGCAGCTCGGCCTTCACCGAGGCCAGTGCGTCTCTGTCTGCACTGGCGAAGACCATGTCGTTCATGTAGACTATGATGTATTACGGAGTCTTGGCCTGAGCGAACGAAGAGGGATGGGTCAGCAGAGTATAAGAAATAGAGCTGAA